AGATACTAGGAAGGTCATGAGACCAAGCACAGAAGGAGAAGCTGCTTAAACGGGGAAGCCACCACTGGCCTAATCTATTTCCTAAGGAAATCCGAGGGACAAGGGTAGTAATAATGGGGCTCCCACAGCGGGGAGAAAGAGCTGCCAGAGGCTTTTCCCTCAGTTAAAGTGAAGGAGACAGCGGCTGAGAACCACAGCTACTCTGTAAGGGGCAGAAGGGAATGATAGGCACTGATAGCCTCCAGCCAGTGCCCCCTGACTAGAAGACACTAGTCACTGTCTGCCCTCAGATCTGCCATCCGTATCCAGGTACGTAGAGCAGGCCTCTGTTCCTCTCTAGCACTCCTTGACAGATTATAAAGGAAGGAACTAACCCAGGGCCCCAGGCTCAACATTACTATGAAATCTCCAGTTTGTTGTAATTAAATTTGCATTCCGCTTATCAGCATATTGAGGGTTTGGGGTTTCATGGTTTTGCTCTGCGACAGGGTCTCTCTCAGTAGCCCTGGATATGCTAGAACTCACTTTGTAGACCAGGCTGCTTCAAACTCACAGAAATCCGCCAGCCTCTGCCTCCGGAGCGCCGCAATTATAAGGCCTGTGCCATCGTGGCTGGCTGCATATTGAGCTTTCTATACAGACGGTGTTTTAGGTTGGGTGTCGTGGCTCACTCCTGTGATCTTGCATGCAGAAGGCTGAAACAGGTCTTTGAATTAGAGATCAGTATGGGCTACATGATGCGCACAGGACCAGCTTGGGCTAGAGCCTGAAAATAAACAAGCACAATGGTCTAAATTTCCACTAGGGAGCGTAAATGTTCTGAGATAAGCATGCCGTCCCCCAGCACATCCTGATCCCTCGCTGTTCTCAGTGCCACTTCTGTACAAAGCCATTTATAGCCTAATTCACAGCTATTTACAGCTGCCTGACTAAGGTAGTGGGGCCTGCTGCCTGGAAACAGAGCAAAGTATCCAGCCAAAGGGGAGTTAACCCGAGACAACCATCTCATTGCCTGCTGCAACTCTGTTTTCCTTCTGCAAAGTCAAATCTCTTTTTCTTTTATCAAATGCTTTTCTTCCTAAGTCTGGTATTTCTTCATTAATCTCGTCCTGCCTGCTAACTGCAAGTCTGCCAAGACCATTCCATGATAAGGACAATTTATTTTCCCACAATACACATGCATTTAAAAATATATTTAAATTGCTCTTGTTAAAATGCTTCACTTGTGGGAGATTATTATGAAGTAACATAATTTGGCAAGCCACTGCATTACAAATGGGGGTGGGGTTCATCCTGGAGATTACCACTCTAAATATGTGCTGTTTTCAGTTTGGGGGTGGGTCTCTTATAGGGTCTCACTGTGTGGCCCTGGCAGTCCTGGAACAAGCTGACCTCAAACTCTTGAATACTGGAATTAAAGGCATGACCCGCCATGCCTGACAGGTTTCTTCACTGCATTTTAGTAACAGATATTTAATAGCTGATTGTTCCACATTTCCTATTTAAAAACAAGTATTCCAACTTCCTAGGGGACCCTTTGTACTCTAAAACTTCGGCATAATTATCTACTTTTCCAAACCAGATGAGTTCTCCTTCTAGCTATATCTATGTTTATATATATGTGTGTATGTGTGTGTATATGTGTGTGTGTGTATATATATGCTTAACTAATGCTTAACTAATAAATCTATATTTATATATATATATATATATATATGTATATATGTGTGTGTGTATATATACATGCTTAACTAATAAATCTATGTTTATATATATGTATATATATATGTGTGTGTATATATATACATGCTTAACTAATAAATCTATGTTTATATATATATAAATGCTTAACTAATTAAATGATTGCTGTGTTAGAAGAAACTCACTGGTAGTTGTAGAGCATTATTTTACTATAGCATTTTAGTTTCTCAAGAGACATTGATGCATGCTAAATTGAATAAAACATGGCTTTAAAAATTTTTAGGGAGCTGCCTTCACCTTTTTCTAACACTACTTGTTGGTCTTGTCTCTCCCCCCCCCACACACACACACACATGCTCCAACCCCACAATGCTAGGGATAGAACCCAGGACCTAGTGCTGGTCTTTGATAGCAAGCTGACTTTTCTGTTCTGTGTTTTTAGGATATCATCAACTCAATGGTAACAGTACTGTTCATGCTTACCGTGTCTGTGTTGGCACTGATACCAGAAACTTCAACAATGACAATCCTTGGAGGGGTAAGCAGAAAGGGGGGGGTGTCTTTGAGGTTTCTTCAGGTTTGACTAAAATGCAAATTCATTTAGAAATATGCTACAGGTACAGCAAGCTCCACTGTATTCATGCCAGGGGCTTCTGAACTGGCTGGCATAGAGTGCCCACCAGCTTTATAGTTTGTGTGAGCAGATACATTCCCTAATTTGCATAAGTAGACAAGGTTTCATATTGGAGTTAGCCAAATAAAGAGCTTCTCACTGGGCTGTACCAGACTGAGAGAAGCTGCTAGAATCAGTTACAATTCTTAGCTCCCAGAAACCTGATGTTAAACGAAAAGAAAGAAACATGGTGGATGGGTTTCTGACATTTTCTTTTAAAGGATTCATATCACCATAGGTGAGATCATATATTCTCATAAGGCTTCAGATACAATAGAGTACAGTTCCTTCCTGCAAGGGATGTAGGAGGAAGCCTTACAACTAAAGGGTTATTCTGAGTACTGCTTACAGAGATACAAGTCAGTTCAGTCAGACTTGATCCTGAGAAGCAAGCCAAAATGGAAGAGTTCAATAATTTCATTATCCCTTCCCCTGGTATTTTTCTGGGATTTGGTCACTTGACTTTCCTAGGCTCTACTCTAGAGAACTGATTTAGAAAGTTTTTCCTTCATTCTTGCTCTTTCTTAGCAAGGGTTCTAAGAACTGACCATGCTCGGCCATGTCTGTCAAAACCCTAGATTTTAACTCCTTTAGGCACTAAGCAACTTCACAAGAGATTATATAATTTTTCTAGAAATGAGGTATGCCGAGATATCAATCTCCCCCAATTGTTATAAAGATAATATTTTATCTGTCTCGTATGAAAAAAGATGAAGCAGTCATAGGACTCAAATTCAGTTACTGGTTTCTTTCATTTTCTCATTGCTTAAATGCTGAGAACATAGAGCTGTGAGCCAGCACAGCAGCCGCAGCCGTGTGGCTACTGAACACAGGAAATGGGGCTAGTATGACTTGAGATAAGCTATAAATATAAAATATGCATTGAATGTCAGAAATTGTATTGTCTCTGCAAAAGAACATAGAATATGTCATTAATCGCTTTTATTATAGCAGTAGTCTGTAAAGGGACAATATTTTGGATATGTTGAGCTAAATAAATGTATTTTTAAAAATTCAGGGTTTTTTTTTTCTTTTTAAATGAAACTCTTGGAAATCTTAATTATGTGGCTCACAATGGAGACTACGTATTCCTTCAGGGTGGTACTGGGCTGGCGCATGAGGGGCAATTAGCCTCGAGTTGCTTAGACCCTAGCCCAAGAGAGGCAGTGCAGCCAGCAGTAGATAGGCCACTACCGGAGTGCTACTGCCCAGCCCAAAAGAGAAGAACTAGCTCTGGCAGTGGAATTGCAGTTTGCTCCATTTCCCTTTAACTCAGTTTTATTTTCCTCGGGCCTCTCTGGGCTCCTATGCCTTGTGTGGACATTGCCCGGACTCCGAGAGCTCACTGTGGAGCATCTTATCACAACTATGGTCCCCGGGACTTAATCTGCTGCCAGCACCAACTCTTCCCCCAGCCAACTGCGCCGATAGAAAAATCAAACAGCTCACCACCGGAGAGAGAAATGTTGGTTGGTAGCTAAATACAGTCAGGGGGGCTTTAAAGAATGCGTGGCAGAGCAAATCAAGAAGGAGAGACCACTTTCATTCCACCTCAGGGGGAGTTCTATGTACTACAGTGATCCTTTTCTTTACTGTGGGTAGGCATGGGGAAAGCTTAGCAATGATCTCTAAAGTCCCTTCCACTTCAGGGTGGTACAGTAGGTTGCACAGAGCAAGCTCCATCCCTTGGCAAGAAAGGAATCTAGCGGGCAGCCCCCTGAGGGTTCGTGTGGACAGAAGCTGATGACCATGTCTCCGTTTGCAGGTGTTCGGTCTGCTGACAACCGTGTGTGCTATTGCTGATTGTGCCCTTATATACCGGAAACTTCTCTTCAATCCAAGCGGACCTTACCGGAAAAATTCTCCGAATCATAGCAGAGATGACGAGAGTTAATGATTTGTGTTCATTTGTACTAATTATTAAACTTATTTCTTTATTCCGTATAATTTCTGCAGTTTTCATTTTTAATTTCAATGTGTGCGCCGGCTAATTTTATGTCAGCCTGACCCATGCTAGAGTCCTTTGGAAAGACAGAACGTCAATTGAGAAAATGTTCCGGATTTGGCCGGCCTCTGGTGCGTTTTCTCGATGGATGATTAATGTGGGAGGACCTAGCTCTCTGTCCTGGGTGCCTTAAGAAAGCGGGCTGAGCAAGCCATGGGGACCAACCCAGTAATCATCACTCCTCCAGGGCCTCTGCATCAGCTCCAGCCTCCAGGTTCCCGCCTTGAGTTCCCACCCTGACTTCCCTGCATAATGGACCTCAAGCGGTAAGATGAAATAAACCCTTTCCTCCCCACGTTGCTTTTGGCCATGCTGTTTTATCACAAACCCTTAGCTGGGTGATGTGGGAGCTTGACAGATTTTTGGACCCTGCTTTCTGCGAGTAGCCTTTCTGTTTATAGCTCAGAACTGGGGCCTGGCCAGACATACCCCCAAATGACTCCAGAACCCCTTTTCTCTGGGTTTGCTGGCAGCAGCTCCTGCAGGTGTGGTTGCTGGAGTCTGAGTTTCCAGGCTAGGCAAAGTACCTTTCCCCCAGATCACCACAAAGATACCAGACTGTGAGGTTGGGTGGCCGCCATCCAGTGCGGGTGCACGCGGATAGGCTGCCCGCAGCCGTTGACGCTGGTTCCCCAAGGGGACAGGCGCCAACAGGCGCCCCACGGCCAGCCTGACATAGTCAGGCTTGGGATGCCCCCATGAAGCCTGCAAATTCCAGGCGTGAGTCCAGCCACTCTCCCAGTGGCACAACATCTCAATCTCAGCTCTTGCATGCTCCCTCAAGCTTCGAGTCATGGGAGTTTCTCCCTCCTGCTGCTTCTCACAGGGTATTTCCACTGAGCGCCACGCCATCCAGTAAATCTCTACATACTGTTCAGAGAGAACAGGGTGCCAGCAGGTTACCACCAAAGAAGCCCGCACAGAGTCACAAGAAGTCATCTCACCAGCTGTCTAAGAAGATCAAGTTACATGTATCGGTCAAAAAACGCGCTGAGAGCCGGACCAAGGTCCCAGAAAGAATCAGAGACAGCTTCCAGTCCTTTTTCTTCTCAACTACTGGAATGTTGAAAGTCTTGAGGATGGTGAGCAGAAGCTGCCTAGTTGCCTGGGTGGGTGGAGGGAGGGAGGGTGGTGGCCTCCAGAGTTGAGTGCAGACACTGCAGGAGCAAAAGCTCCACTGTTTTTTATTTGTTTTTGTTTTGTTTTGTTCTGTTCTTTGAGTTCACTATGCCTGGGCGGCCTTGAACTCACACAGATCCGCCTGCCTCTATCTCCAGAGTGCTGGGAGTAAGTGCTGGGAGCCACCACAGACCCAACATCACACAATTCTCAGGACTAAATTAGTGGGGTTTCCCCTTCTCCCCTCCTTCTTGAGGGCTCCCCCTCACAAATGAAAGTAGAAAATTAGTGGGTAAACAGCAAAAAGTTGTAAACTAGCAAGCACAACTGGTAAGAACCGCCATCTAAAAGACCTACTCAAGCAGTACACAACAGGCAATAATCTGGGAAAAACGGAAGAGGACACTAGTAAGAATGGGGGAAAAGCATCTAAATGTCTGCAGCCGGGGCCACACAACTTCTGGGAGGGAAAGTTTAATGACCCGAACTGATCCCAAAATAGAGAAATTCAAACAGAACAACATCTAAAAGCAGAGGGAAAGCAAGGGGCCTGCAAGGGAACTCCTGGGTAAATGCTGCTATGGTCAGGCCTGAAGACGAGACTTTGGTCTGCCAAACTCACAGGGTGGAAGGAGAGGAACATCGCCTGTGAAGCGCCCTGTGTCCCTTGCACTCGCTCCCCCATGACGTGCAAACATAAGCAACGGGATTTTTAATTATAGAAGTGAATCAGACCAGACATGGTTAGGGTCAGCTCTTTCAGATCATGAAATATCATTTGGATGATGCTCAATCTTTTTGGAGAAACTAAAATTTCGGGATGACTTATGTTCTCTGATGACCGAATCCAGGGCCCTGCGACTTGCCAGACACTCCACCAGGGAGCTGGATCCCTGTCCTTTTATGAGTGATTATTTTACAAAGTCTAACACTGACATCAAAACTTGATCAGGTTTAGCAAAAGCAAACAAAATAGAAATCTCACAGCACCAATGTGAAGATTCATTAATGTTCGGGCTCCCAGTGCTTAGCATGTGTAAGGTCCTGGGATGGATCCCCAGAACAGGGGGGGGGAGAAAGTGTTAATATATTAACAAAAAAAAAACCCATTTGTATTTTTAAAACATATACCACAAAGAGGAAACACAAGGATGATTTGCTATTGGAACTCTTAAAATAACCTATCCTATTAAAAGGGAAAGATTATAAGATTCAATCAAATTGTGTTGGAGAACATATGACAATTATGGGTATCATAAACGATCTGAAAACGGAGAACTGAATCAAATAGTAATATGATACAAGTGAGCCACCCTACCATTTGAAAAGCATTCTGGAGGCCAGAGATAAGGCCCAGCAGTTGCTGCTCTAACCGAGTTGTTTCCAGCAATCAGGTCAGTTGGATCACAATCCCCTCCAACTCCAGCTCCAGGGATCCGACACCCTCTTCTGGCTTCTATGGGGACACACAGACACAGTTTTAAAAAGAAAAGCATTTAAAATTGACAACTCAATGAGAGAATAGACTCGAAAGAGACACAAATACATCTGAGAATTTACTATCCGACAAAGATTGTGTGCTCTTGGTCACTGGGAGAAATCCCAGCATCTCCCAGGGAATGGCTGGTGTAATCAAATGGATAGAAAGAAAACTCAGTTAGTCAGGTTTTCTAACTCACAATTTCTGCCCAAATCAACATCAATTTACTTAACCAGTGTATACTTGGATTTCCTTCTAGAAATACAAACCAGTAGTAGTGATTTCTTTGCAGAAGACAGACTAGCTAGAGTGGTGGCGCACGCCTTTAATCCCAGCACTCAGGAGGCAAGGCAGGTGGTTCTCTGTGAGTTGGAGGCCAGTTTGTAGTACATAGTGGATTTCAGGCCAGCGAGAGCTTCATAGAGAGATCCTATCTGAAAAACAAAACAGAGAGACTAGGTTTGGATAGAGAAGAAGAAAGAAATTTAAAAACATTTCTGTGTTCAATCTTTATTTACGTATATTAATTAACTTATAAAAATAATACGTTTAAGTAGGGCTGGGAATGTAGCTCAGTAGTAGATTGCGTGCCTAGCATAATGGAGGCCCTGGGTTTGATCCCTAGCGCTAAAAAATTAACTAGTTAATTAAAAATTGAAAAATGAAAGCTAGGAACGTAACTCAGTAGTATCGTACTTCTTCCCAGTACTACAAAAAAAAAAAAAAAAGAAGAAGAAGAAGAAGAAGAAGAAGAAGAAGAAGAAAGAAAAAGAGTTAGTTCATTTAAAACAATGTTAAAAAGAAAATATCCATGGAAAACAATACAGGCAGGGCCTGGAAAGATGACTCGGAACTAAAGAGCTTGCCACACAGGCCTGACCGCCTGAGTTAAGATCTGAAGCTGGATGAGGTTGGATGCGGCCTGTTATCCCAGCATCCCTGAGTACACGCCACAGCAAAAACTTGTGTACACACACACACACACACACACACTTTTTAAAGTAGAGACTACCTCAGTATAATCAAATTAAATGTAACAGACGTTGTCAGTTAATATGTGCTACAGATAAACAGCTATATGCATTGAACAAACCTGTTCTTTTCTTGCAGTGTATTGTTGCAGCATCGGTGTTTTGTTTCGTCATTGGTGGCGGCCATGAGATGTTTATAGCAATCACGATTCAGGAAACCTGCATCGTCCTATTTTTTGTCATAGTATATTTGGTAAACCTTCATCACTTGCTGGTCTGTATCCACTGGCCTTTGCTTGTAAGTGTTCATTTGCATAATTTCCATGTAAGCTTTGCCCCTGTCCCCAAGAGTTAGCCTGTCCTCACTTTCCTCCAGGGAAGACAAAAGAGCTCTCTAGACAAGTGCATGGCAGAGCTTTGGCGGAGCATTGTCCTGTCCCAGGGGAGAAACAACTTAACTCCTGAGTACTGGGGTTACAAGCATTTGTCATCAGACCTTGTAGTTTCAGTTTCCCTGTCTAGGAAATGCAGAAAGGGGGAAGTGTGAGGAGGAGCCCCTCCTCATAGGGTTTCTGTAACATTAGAATGTGTATAGAGATGGCATAGCACGTACCAGCACACACACTCTCTACACAGCATCCAAAAAGAAAATCAAGCTGCCATATCCCATAAGGTATTTGGATTGCTTTGGCCATTCTCTCTTGTTCGGTGAACAACCCTGACATGGCTCCTGTCTCATCCACATCTCACTTCCTTTATGTGGTGGTGGGATTGAACCTGAGGTCTGTGTGGGCCAGGCACGCACTCCACTGCTGAGCTGTATTTCTCTCTTTTCAAACGCACGTCTCTGAGAAATTTTGCTTGCCTGTGTAAATGTGCACTACAAGCATGCCTGGTGCCTGTAGAATCCAGAAGAGGGTGTCAGATCCCATGGAACTGGAATTATAGTCAGGGTAAGTCACCACATGGAGGCTCTGAACCCAACCCAGTTCCTCTGCAAAGAGCAGAAGTGCTGTTTACTGCTGAACCAACTCTCCAGCACCATATATATATATATATATATATATATTCTTCATTTTGAAGATAAGGTCTCAGTTTTTTTTTCCCCAAACTAGCTTTTGAAGCACGAATCTAAATCTTAATCAATAAAATCCAGGAGTCGGATATTGGGATACAGATCTGGAAGATGAGAGAACTGGAGCCGTTGCCAGTTGCTTCCTACCTGTCTCCTTCCTCCATCTCAAAGCACGGAGATCCTGTCTCCACCTCCTGAATGCTGTGATTAGAGGCATGTGCCACCACTGCCCAGCTTCTATGGTTAACTAGTGGCTAGCTCCACCCTCCAATCTCAAGGCAGGCTTTATTTGTCAGAACACAACAAATTATCATACATTTTCCCCCTTTTCATCTAAATGAAAAGTGAAAGTTTTAACTAACATAAAAAAAAACTATATACAATAAGTGCAATTGTAGTAGGAGGTCACTTGTTCATTTCCTAGCCACCCAGACTCCCATAATAACCACATAGAAACTATATTATTTAAATCACTGCTTGGCCAATTGCTTAAGTGTATTGCTAGCTAGCTCTTATAGCTTTGGTTAACCCATTTCTATTAATTATCACCATGTGGCTGTGGCTTACTGACAAGGTTCAAAGAAGTCTGAGTCTAGTAGGGCTACATGGCCTCTCCCTGACTCTGCCTTCTCCCTCCCAGAATTCAGTTCAGCCTTCTCCACCTAACTCTATTCTGCCCTATCACAGGCCAAAACTGATTTTTTTATTCATTAACCAATAAAAGCAACACATATATAGAAGGACTTCCCACACCATTTCCCCTTTTGTTTAAATTTAAAAAAAAAAAAGGTTTTAACTTTAACATAGCAAAATTACATACAGCAAAACAGGTATCAAGCCAGAATTAAAGTTACAATATTTATATCTACTTTATCTTTTATCATAACTAAGAAAAACTATAATTATATCTCTTTATTCTTTAACTGCATCAAAGACTCCAGAAGGATATAATATTATCCAAGTGAACAGGAAGTGCATTATAAGCAACTTTCAAAACTCTAGAATTGATGGAGACGTCTCGCCGCTTGGACGGTCCCCCAAAGTTCTTCTGTACCATTGCAGCATTTGTCTTCAGCCTCCAGGCCCATATCTGTCAGACTTTTCCATGAAGCAGGAAATTCCAAAGACAGTTCTGCCTATATAGGCAGTTTGTCAGCCACTTTCTTCGGTGTCCTGCAGAGTGTCTGGCAGACTCTTAGGAAGTAGGAACCCCTACTTCATAGGACGGACTATTCGACCTTCACTAGGCAGCTTCAGCAGTCGTTTCTCTGTGGGTCCTGCAAGTCCAGTCAAGCAGTCCAGGCATGAGCAGTTTCTTGCCCGAATGGCTAACCAACTCCTTACGGATGCCCATCATCCTGTTGAAGTAGGTTGATGTTGCCAGGAGCAGATGTGTCTCATTGTCATGAAAAGTCCTAATTTCTTAAAACATTTCAAATGCCATGTTCTGTAGTCTTTCGAAGATCTGAAGAATACCTATCTAATTGAAATATATCTCTATATATCTAGAAAACCTAACTAACATGACTACAAGTTTGACTATTATAGATGACTATCTATTAACCTGTATTTCTTAATTATACATTACATTTTATATGAGCTGCACAAACACAATACCTTAATCAAGAGCAGAAATATGCATATAACAAAACTGACCTTAAATTTGTAGCAATAAAACAAGATCCATATCAATGCAAAGTATCCATCTCTATAGCATATCCCCCTTTAAAAGTAAACAAAATTTGTAGACAATATTTGGAAATATGGGCATAGTTCTCTAAACTGCTTCCTGCTGATTGGGGTGCTGTTAATCAGGTCTTTCATGGAGTATCCTGTGTGGCAGGTCCATCTCAGCCGGCTTTACTGTAGCTGTCATGGATGCTGGGCCATCTGGACCATTGCTTCAAGGGGTCTTGTTTGATTAAACCATATTAGTCATAAGGAATCCACAGCTTTCTATCCTCTTTGGAAATAAAAGCAGAACTTCTTTTCCAAAACAACAAATCCTTAGACCCAAATTTGGGAATCGAGATACCTTTAAAATACATAGGCTGGTTTATCTTAGCAGCCCATACAACGAAATATCTCTCTGTACTTAGCTCCTTCACAGTCAAATACGTTAAAGAAAACACAATAGTATACACATAATCCAGTCTCTCTGTGTATATTCCATCTTTATATGACTTATTTTTCTTTATTCCTTTAATCTGACTGTTTGTACTGTTCCTTTAAAGACTTTGTTTTATTTTTTAAAAAAATATTTGCTTCTTTTTATAACTCTTTATACTCTTTTTCTTCCCTCTCCCAAGCCTGCATACATTTATCCAACACTGTAACTCATTTAGAGATCTTTTTTTATCTGAATATGTCTTTATTGTGTATCTGTAATTATTTTCTGATCAGAAACATTTTTTAAAAAATGCTAAGCAGTCTTGGCTACAACCAAGGCTGCTTTCCCTTTTGGCTCCACCCATTTCAACATGGCAGAGGTCTGTTCACCGCCTCTGCTAGCCATGCACACAGCCCCAGTTCCAGGAATACAGTGGGTCTATGTCGTGCCATTAAGCAGTTGGTAACATGCTACTCACAAATCCCATTCAAATACTCAGCCTCCTGAAAGAGTCAGAGTTCATGCTGGCAGCATGGCCTAAGATGCTGTCATTTTGAAACCATGTGGGTTTTTGTTTGTTTGTCTGTTTGTTGTTGTTTTGGGTTTTTTTGCTACTGCTGAATCAGGAAGACCTCTCTTAAAGGAGCTGCAGCATGCCGCCAGCAAGCAGAGGCCATCCAAACAAAAATGTGGCTAAACTTTGGTTTTTTAGTGTCTAGAATCCTTTCCAAGCCCTCTCAGGTTTTATGTGGATTTAGCAAGCACACATTGGAGCGCCAGTTTGTAGTAGGAGGCCTCTTGTTCGTTCCCAGCCTCCCAGACTCCCAAAATAATCACACAGAAACTAGATTATTTAAGCCAGTGCTTGGCCAATTACTTACTACCAATTACTTAAGTGTATTGCTAGCTAGCTCTTATATCTTTGGTTAACACATTTATATTAATATATGTATTGCCATGCTGTGATTTACCAGCATGATGCTAGCGTATCTGTGTCTGGCGGGGCTCCATGGCTTCTCCATGACTCCACCTTCTTCCTCCATGCATTCAGTTCAGTCTTATCTGCCTAGCTCTACTCTGCCCTATCACAGGCCAAAACTGCTTCTTTAATCATTAACCAATAAAAGCAACGCATATAGAGAAGGACTTCCCACACCATACAATAACTATATATAATTATATATCAGCAATAATTACATTAACAATTAGTCCATTAACATTTGACAAATTCAGAGAAAATACTTCATTATCCATCCTATCTTGGTGAGTCCAAAGTGTTGAACTAATTTATCCTAACTTGCATTACCAACCCAAAACTATCATTTTATGTCTCTTGACCTTATATACTTTGTACCTCTTTTGTGAGTTTCTTTTCTGAATTTGGTAACAAGGAAAACTATAACTACAATTATCTAGTCTTCAACTCCATCAGAGACCCAAGAAGGAAGTAATATTACCTAGTAAGCAGGAAGTGCAAGTAAGTGGCTTCCAAAAAATGTGAGAAATGACAGGAACAGCTATTTTCTGTCACCCAAGGTGGATAGTCACCCAAGGTTCTTCGGTAATGTTGGGGCATCCATCTTTAGTCTACAGGCCTAGAATATCTGCTACAATTTTCTGTGAAACAGTATATTCTAAAGTGCTGTCCTACCTTGGCTTGTCAAAGTTTGACAGTTATTTTCTTTTATATACTGCTTGAACAATTTGGACAGCATACTGTCAGGAGTTGAGGCAATGGTAATTTCTGACCCTGTGGCTAATCTTTGTCACAAAGAAAGTAAACACCATACGGAGTTTCTTTGATGCCAAATCATCTTCTCTGAAGTAGATTAGCACTGCCAGGAGCAGAAATGTCTTATTGTCGTAAAAAAAAAAGACATACATTATTAAAACATCTTAAATGACATATTCTATAGATCTCTGTAGTGTTTGAAGACCACCCATCTATCTAAAATACATGATATCTAAATCATTTACCTTGAAAATACCTAACATGACTGTAAGTTTGATTGTAATAGATGACTCACTTCTAACCTGCATTTCTTTATTATCCTAAATAGTTTGGAATGATAACTTTCAAGGGCTAGAAATTTAAATTACATTGTTAAATGAACTGTATAGATACAATACCTTGAACAAGAGTAGTTCTAACAAAAATAACCTTAAATTTGTATCAATATATAAAAGTATCTTAAACAAGAGTAGAAACATATTTACAGTATAACAAAGATAACCTCAACACTATATCAATACACAAAAAAGCCATGCCAATCTAAAATATTTAAGACTAGTAATTGTTTTATTTTGGTTTAAAAGTAGATTCAATAAATTACCCTTTTATCCTATTACACACACACACACACACACACACACACACTCCTTTTTTTTCCTTTCAGAACAAGAGCCTTCCCCAGAAAAGGGTAAAAATGGATTGGATGCTGTGCTTGCAGTCTAAGGGGACAGGTAGCTCATAACCTTTTCCTGGGCGTGCTCCTGATGGGAGTCAACAACGAGCAGCTGAGTTCTGACTCCTCTCCTTAGCAGTTGTCCACTCTGAAACAAAGTTCAGTGAACTTTTCAGAGACGGCTATTGCCGTCTCTGTGGAAACACCCAGCATAGCGGCAATTCTATTGAGGCTGCTTTGTTATAGTTAAACAAGGCAGTCTAGGAACTGCTTTTCATATTGAAGGGAGCCATTAAGGTCGCCATGGTTTCTTACACTGAATGGCCAGACTTCTTTCTACCTTTCGGTTCATACCCCAGACAGGTTGTTGCCACCAGTTAAGCCATCAAGAATGTAGCGAGGAGATGGTTCATTTGGTAAAGTGAAAGCCTTGCACGCATGAGGACCTGAGTTCAATCCCCAGAACCCATGTTTAAAAAAAAAAAAAAAAACAGACAAGCTCGTAATCTCAGCACTGGGGAGAGACACGGGAAGATTCCTGGGAGCTCTATGCTCAGATGGCCTAGCCTACTTGAAATGGAGGGGGCTAGTCAGATGACTCAGAGGGTACCTGGCAACAACCTTGGTAACCTGAGTTCAATCCCTGGGACTGAAACCTGGTGGAAAGAGAAAAACAGCTCCCAAAAGTTGTCCTCTGACCTCAATATACACGGGTCTCATATGCATCCCTCCCCCACCACACACACATACACACAATAAATGAAATATAATTAAAGATAAAATTTATAAGATGGACAGCTCCTGAGGAATAGCAGCCAAGGGTGTCCTCTAGTACATGTATGTAGGTCACACGCTCGCGCACGCACACACACACACACACACACACACACACACACGAGACATAGAGTGTTCCAGTTCTATACCTGGATCAAATCTGGTTTTTGACTCGAGGCTTTGGCCCTGTCCACAAACTGGCACTACTGACACCATCACTGCCCTATCATCTAAGCACAGTGTCCCACTCTAAGGGAAACCCCTTCCATCCATGCTCACCCTTCCAGCACACAAAGGAGGCTGTAGTTGAAGAGCGCTTACAACCAAAACCCCAAACGAAGGACACAAGAACTTAATGATATTGGGCTGACTCTATTCTGGCCTTGTCTCAGACAAAAGAAAACAGCACAGCCATCCATTCCAGAAAATCGAGTCCTCTCTTCAGATGGGTTTGTGTGTTCTCAGGACACATGAGCTCACAAAATAACAGAACCCAACTTTCAGAGCATTAATTTTTGGATGTAGGGGATAAAGTAAATGAATGAAGTATTAATATAAAATTTACCCCCCAAACCCTTATATTTATATATATTAAAATAAATAAGTTATGGAAAAAATGAAGAATTCACATTAAAATATAAAACTTCAAAAAACGTCACGTTATTAATGGCCACTTTTGGCCAGTCCTAGACCACAGAATATAGAATTGCTGTCCCCTTTAAGAAAAGGTGGAAGAGGATGGAGAGATGGCTCAGTGGTTAAGAGTGGGTACTGTTCCCACAGAGAACCCAAGCCCAGATACTAGCACACACATAGGACAGCTCACAACCACCTGGAAATTTAGCTCCAAGAGACCTAACACCTGCTTCTGGGCTCTGCTGGCACCTGCACCCACTTGTGCACACACCCATTCTCTCTCTCTCTCTCTCTCTCTCTATCTATCTATCTATCTCTATCTCTATTTCTCTCTCTCCTCTCTCTCTCTCTCTCTCTCATATATGTGTATGTGTGTGTGCTAACATTCTTATTGGTATTTTAATGAAAACAAACCTGTTTTGACAAAGTCCTATCCAAGACCTTAAAAATCACATGAACTCAAATCTGTGAAAAATAAAATTATGCCCCTGAAGGTCCCTGTCAATCAAAGAGAAAGCGTTCCAAAGGTATCCACCCTTAGATGGGTAATGGACCACTTTAAATATTTTGAAATTGCATTCTCATTTAGAGTTGACCCATTTCAACTCTGCATTGCAGGATCTTATCAACAGTTTAATCTCAGCTGCATTCCTTGGAGTAGTTGCCCTGATAACAATTCAAGAAAAACGAAGAAGGCATTTGTGTTTTATTGGAGGGGTAAGTAGAGGCATTCATGATTCTATTTAAGATCAGTGGTCTGGGGCCAGTGAAATGGCTAGGTGGGTAAAGACACCTACCACCAAGTCTAGCAACCTATGTTCATTCCCAAGGCCCACATGATAGGAGAGACTGACTCACAATTTGTACTCCAGCCTCCAAAAGTGCACTAGGGCACATGTGTGCTTATACATACACACACAAATAAATAATACAAACATTTTTAATGAAAAATAATATAAGCTGGACAGTGGTGGTGTACGGTTTTAATACCAGCACCAGCAGGCAGAGGCAGGCCGATCTCTGTGAGTTCAAGGACAGCCTGGTTAGTCTACAAAGTGAGTTCTAGGACAGCCAATGCTACACAGAAAAACCCTGTCTTGACACCCCCTGAAAAAAAGAGTATATGAGGACCCTGAAAAAGAAAGGCCATCATGATGTTATTAACAGAACAGAGAAGACTTACTTATTTTTAAGTATGTCTGCCTGTCTGTCTGTCTGTCTGTATGTATGTATGTATGTATATATGTCGGCATGTATACATGCAAGCAAGTTCCAGTGGAGGTCAGAAGGGGACACTGGATCTCCTGGAACTCGAGTTAAAGACAGTAGTGAGCCTCCACATGGGTCCTGGGAACCAAACCTGGCTCCTCTACAAGGAAAGCAAGGGCTTTTAACCACTGAGCCATCTCTCAAAACCCCCTTCTCTTTCATGTAGTGACATCTTCAAATAATGTCAAGTGACCCAAACCTGAAACTCATGAAACTCACAAAATGTATTCTCCAAATAAGTTTATTAGTCTATGGAACAACTTTTACAAATGATACATGATACATATAAAACACTGCAAGGAAAAAATGCCTTATAATTAAGTGTCTTAGTTACCATTCTATTACTGTAAAGAGACTATGAAACAAAGTATTCCAATGGGGTCTGGCTTACATTTACAGAGGATGAGTCTGTGACTACCATGGTTGGGAGCAGGACAGTGGGTAGACGGGCATAGCCCTGGAGCAGTAGCTGAGAGCTCACATCTGACCCACAGGCAGCAGGCAGAGAGTGAGACTAGGCATGGCTTGGACCACAAAACCCACCCCCAATGCCACACCTCTTACACCAAAGTCATGCCTCCTAGTCCTTACTAAACAGCTCACCAACTGGAAACAAAACCTTACAGAGTCGCTTCTTATTCAAAGCACCACACTGCAACTTTGTTTCTTCCTGGACTAGAGAACTATATTAAACAAAGATATAAGGGGCACTGTCAGAACGGAGTAGCTTGGCTTGACCAAGGCGGAAGGGATCCTGCCTGTGTTGAAGTACCTAGTGTGTGTCCAGCACGGCCTAGGCACCTCCTTAATCTTGTTGTTTTATAAATAAGGTCTCTAATCCAAGACAGTCTCTAACTTGCTCTGGGATTGA